TTTCCCAAACCATTTACAGTGGTCCATAAGCATGCATTGGTTAACGTGTGAATAAATATGCGTCTACATTGGTCAACATGTGGCTAAACATGTGTCTATATTGGTTAACATGTGGCTAAACATGCGTCTACACTGGTTAACATGTGGCTAACCATGCGTCTACATTGGTTAACATGTGGCTAAACATGTGTCTATATTGGTCAACATGTGGCTAAACATGTGTCTACACTGGTTAACATGTGAATAAATATGCGTTTACATTGGTTAACATGTGGCTAAACATGCGTCTACACTGGTTAACATGTGGCTAACCATGCGTCTACACTGGTTAACATGTGGCTAACCATGCGTCTACATTGGTTAACATGTGGCTAAACATGTGTCTATATTGGTCAACATGTGGCTAAACATGTGTCTACACTGGTTAACATGTGGCTAACCATGCGTCCACATTGGTTAACATGTGGCTAAACATGCGTCTACATTGGTTAACATGTGGCTAAACATGCGTCTACATTGGTTAACAGTTGGCTAAACATGCGTCTACATTGGTTAACAGTTGGCTAAACATGCGTCTACATTGGTTAACATGTGGCTAAACATGCGTCTACACTATTTAACATGTGGCTAAACATGTATCTACATTGGTTAACATGTGGCTAAACATGTGTCTACATTGGTTAACATGTGGCTAAACATGCATCTACATTGGTTAACATATAGCTAAACATACGTCTACACTAGTTAACATGTGGCTAAACATACGTCCACATTGGTTAACATGTGGTTAAATATGCGTCTACATTGGTTAACATGTGGGATAATATACCTTTACAATAGTTAATGTGTGGTTAAATATACGTCTGGATCAGTTATTGTGATTATCATAACTGGATGTAGGTGACTCGTCACACCCCTTCCTCCCCACCTCCAATAACCTAACTAACCCTGAACTTACCTAACCTAACTAACCCTGAACTTACCTACCCTAACCTAACCTAACCTAACCTTACCTTACCTAATCTTACCTAACCTAACTAACCCTGAACTTACCTAACCTAACTAACCCTGAACTTACCTACTCTAACCTAACCTAACCTTACCTAATCTTACCTAACCTAACTAACCCTGAACTTACCTAACGTAACCTAACCTAACTAACCCTGAACTTACCTAACCTAACTAACCCTGAACTTACCTAACCTAACTAACCCTGAACTTACCTACTCTAACCTAACCTAACCTTACCTAATCTTACCTAACCTAACTAACCCTGAACTTACCTAACGTAACCTAACCTAACTAACCCTGAACTTACCTAACCCAACTAACCCTGAACTTACCTAACCTAACTAACCCTGAACTTACCTACCCTAACCTAACCTAACCTTACCTAATCTTACCTAACCTAACTAACCCTGAACTTACCTAACCTAATCTAACCTAACTAACCCTGAACTTAAGTAACCTAACCTAACTTAACCTAACCTAACCTAACTAACCCTGAACTTACCTAACCTAACCTAACTAACCCCGAACTTACTTAACTTAACCTAGCCTAACCTAACTAACCCTGAACTTACCTAACCTAACCTAACTAACCCTGAACTTATCAAACCTAACCTGACTAACCCTGAACTTACCTAACCTAACCTAACCTAACTAACCCTGAACTTTCCTAACCTAACCTAATCTAACTAACCCTGAAATTACCTAACCTAACCTAATCTTACCTAACCAATCTGGATTAGATCTAGCCTAATATTAACTCAGTTATACTGATTGGACCTAACTTAACCTAATATAATCTAAACTAACCTAACCTAAATAAAATAAAAAATAATAAATATTAAATATGGGTATTCTTATTATTATTATTATTATTATTATTATTATTATTATTATTATTATTATTATTATTATTATTATTATTATTATTATTGGTATTATTATTTATTATTATTATTATTGGTATTATTATTATTATTATTATTATTATTATTATTATATGTATGACTTCTTGAGGTCATACATCGTCCGGTTAATTAGGGAATAGGAGATAATTATATTTGATCGGAGGAAAGCGAGGGCAGCTCTTGTTCCTTAAATCAAGAAGAAAGCGTACGACAACGAACGGTGTAAGATGATGATTTGAAGGTGAAATGAGACGGTCCCTTCAGAGGAGGTTCACTGACGTCGGTTAGGGCTCTTGATTCAAGGAATTTAACACAACCATCCCTTCTCATTGAATGTGACTGCCTCCCATTGCCCTAGGTTCTGTATGACCCCCCATTGGTTTAGCGCTTACCCCCATGGTTGTAATAATAATGATGTATGAAGTGGTGTGTGGCGCTCCTGTGGAGATTGATCACTTGTCTCGACCTTTACAGACTGATCAAGGACGGTCTGTGTGACAGGAACACAGCGCCCTCTGTCTCAGCCATCTCCAGACTCCTCAGAGGCAAGGATGACGACGACGATACCAAGAAACCCAAAGATGGTGAGTACTTATCTCAGTCTGAGTACCTCTTACTGTCTGAGTACTTCCCTCAGTCTGAAATACTTCTCTGTTTCTCTTCCGGGCAGTAAAGGGTGGTAGGGGTTGGGGTTGTAACATTGCAAGGGAGAGAATACTGAGGTATCCAGGGAAGAAGTCGTACACTTGTAGAAAAGAGAAGCAAGGAATTTTTATTAAATTCAGCAGGAAATGTTGAAACTGTTGGAGTAATAAAGTGCTGGGGAAAGGGACAATTTTCTTGGGACAAGAGCCCTCATCGGCATCAACGTCTCTTCCCCCTCCTTCCCCAGCTTTCCCTTCCATCAACTGGATAAGCGGTGAGAAGTGTCACTGACTGAGGCCTCCATAGCTCAGGATGGTAAGTACTTCTGGCACTCTCTGGATATCTAAGTAGGAGGAGTGAAGGTCCGGGTGCCAGTGTGGTACTGACTACCTGGTGATAGTTCCAGGAAAGTCATCACTCCTGTGGCCCGGTCCCAGGCCAGACCTCTTGGTGAGTGACTTGCTCAGTGAATACCTCCTGTAACTGCAGTGGTTAGAATAACAAGAGCAACACCAGGATATCCTAATCATGAAGACGTTTTGTCAACCAGTGAATTTCTCGATTCAGTACACAGAATATATACTGGAAGCTGTGGAAGATGAGATAATTAGTCCATCAACCTTAACTGATGTTCAGTCCCTCTGCCTTGATCACTCTGAAGCAGAGGCAGAAGGATGGGCTAATATATCCTGGAGACAGAAGAAAGGTGCAGCAGTTGCAAATATCATCATAGGTGAGTGGAACCAACTAGTGGAAGCAGGCTATGCCCATGAGATGGGCCAGAGGTCAGCAATAAGGTTCTAGATGACCTCACATTCTCTGTACCAAGATTCCATGGCCTTGACGTGTCACACAACTTTATACACACGCACGCACACACACACACACACACACACACACACACACACACACACACACACACACACACACACACACACACACACACACACTCTTTCTCTCTCTCACTCTCATTATATATATATATATATATATATATATATATATATTTATATAATATATATAATATTATAATATATATATAAAACACACACATATATATGCAAAACAACCACTGTGAAAGACTAGAGAAATTCAAAGCGTTTCGTGACTACTCGCATTATCAAGGAACAATAAAAGTAATGCATCACAGGAAGGCATATAAAAGGTCTTGACCACACCTCACTATCACATCCCACAACAAAGCAACACCTGACGCGCGACTCATAAGAAAGAGAACACTGCAGTAGGCCCGCTGGCCCAACTAGACAGGTCCTTCACACAACCCACAAGTAAACTATTCTACCCAAGAATTAAGAATTTTAAAATTTATTATTTGTCCATTGTATTATTAAATTTTTCCCAAATTCTATTAATTATAAATGGATCTAATTTATATAAACCAAAGGAAATATTCATATTATTGACAAAACTGCGTTTTATGAAACAAGATTCAATTATATTCCTGTCGACCATGGACTTGCTTGATACAATTTTCTCAACTTTTTGAAAATCAATTGGATGGTTAAAATCTCTCACATGAATAAATAGAGCATTGGACTCTTGTCCAGTTCTAATGCTATATTTATGTTGTTTTAATCTTAGTTCGAGACTTTTACCAGTTTGACCGTAATAAACTTTATCGCAAATTTTACAAGGAATCTTAGACACATCCGTCAGCATTTTGGGGGGAATTCTTTATCAAAAGTTTTCTTACTGTATCAAGATTTTTAAATACAACTTTGAGATTAAAAGTCTTAAGAAGAGAAGGCATATCAACCAAGTTTTCATGATAAGGGAGAACCAACATATTTTTAGTTGAATAGGGCTGGTTGTCCCTTTTTGGATTGTAAAAAGTATTTATAGCAATTTTAAAAGATTTATCAATTACGTTTCTTGGGTATTTCAAATCATTAGCTATTTCATAAATTTTAGATATTTCCTCATCTATGAACTCTGGACTACAAATACGTAAAGCTCTCAAAAACATTAATAAGAAAACAGACAGTTTAACTCTGTCTTGATGTGAAGAATAATTGTATACATAGGAACAGTTATTTGTAGGTTTTCTGTAAATTTTGAATTTGAATTCATTATTACTCTTAATAATTAAAACATCTAGAAAAGGCAATGAGTTATTTTCTTCAAACTCAACAGTATATTTTATAAAATGAGCTAAGCTATTTAATTTACCAAGGAAATGGTGTATATCTACATTCTTGGGCATAAGACAAAATATCATCTACATATCTGAACCATTTAGCTCTATTAGGGAGGATTGTGTTAAACAGCCTTGTTTCAAAAAATTCCATGTATAGGTTACTAAGAACAGGTGAAAGAGGATTCCCCATTGCCATACCAAACTTCTGAGTGTAAAACTTATCATTACATTCAAATTTTGCATCAACAATGCAAAGTTCAATTAGTTTAATGATAGTAGGAACTGGCAATGGTAAATCATAATTAAAGAGTACTTCAAATAAGAAACTTAATAAATCATCAACAGGAACTTTCGTAAACAAAGAATAACATCAAAACTAACCATGTTAAAATCATTTAAGTCAGTCACGGAACTTAATTTATCAACTAAATCTATGTTATTTTTAACATTAAAGTTAGAAATTTTGCCAACAATAGGGCTCAAAATGTCAACAAGCCATTTGGATAATTTATATGAAACTGATCCTAAGGAGCTAATAGTTGGTCTGACTGGATTCCCTGGTTTGTGTGTTTTTATTAGTCCATACATGTAAGGTAAAGATGGATTAGTGGAAGTAAATAAACAATTTACTTCATCTTTGCCTTTCAGTAGAAGGTTTATTGTTTTACTGAAATTGCTGTTAACGGTTTCTAGAGGATTTTTTCTAAGTTTAGAATAGGTTTCAGTATGATCTAAGAGATTATTAATTTTTTCGTAGTAATCATTTTCGTTCATAATTAAGAATATAAGAACATAAGAAATAAGGAACACTGCAACAGGCCTACTGACCCATGCGGAGCAGGTCCATGTCCCTTCCCCGGATTAGCCCAATGACCCACCCAGTCTGGTCACCCCCACTCAAGGATGGAGCACTGCACCAGACCCAGCAGCACAAGCTAGTCAGGTCCAACTCACACCCACTCACACCCACTCATGTATTTATCTAACCTATTTTTAAAACTACACAACGTTTTAGCCTGAATAACTGTACTCGGGAGTTTGTTCCACTCATCCACAACTCTATTACCAAACCAGTGGTTTCCTATATCCTTCCTGAATCTGAATTTTTCCAACTTGAAACCATTGCTGCGAGTCCTGTCTTGGCTGGAAATTTTCAACACACTATTTACATCCCCTTTATTTATTCCTGTTTTCCGTTTAAACACCTCGATCATATTCCCCCTAATTCTACGCCTTTCGAGAGAGTGCAGATTCAGGGCCTTCAGTCTATCTTCATAGGGAAGATTTCTGATACATGGGATCATCTTTGTCATCCTCCTCTGTACGTTTTCCAGAGCATTTATATCCATTCTGTAATACAGTGACCAGAACTGAGCAGCATAATCTAAATGAGGCCTAACCAAGGATATATAGAGTTGAAGAACAACCTGAGAACTTTTTTTATTTATACTTCTAGGTATGAAGCCAAGAATTCTGTTAGCTTTATTACGAACACTAATGCACTGTTGTCTTGATTTTAGATTACTGCTAACCAGAACTCCTAAATCCTTTTAGCAATCAGTAGTATTAAGATCTACATCATTTAGTTTATATGTGGCATGGTTATTTATCTGTCCAACATTTAGAACTTTGCATTTGTCAATATTAAACTGCATCTGCCACTTCCCCGACCATTGCATCAGTCTATTCAAATCATCCTGGAGTGCTCTAGTGTCCTCATTAGAATGAATTGGACGGCCTATTTTGGTGTCATCAGCAAATTTGCTTATGCCGCTATTTATTCCCTCATCTATGTCGTTTATGTAAATTGTGAACAACAACGGGCCCAACACTGACCCCTGAGGAACACCGCTTGTGACGTGCCCCCATTCTGATTTCTCCCCATTTATGTAAGCTCTCTTGTAGATGAATGGTTCACAGAACAGACACGTTGATAAATTACACATGTGCAACTCTTGGGTATCTTTATTAAGGAAACGTTTAGCCACACAGTGGCTTCATCAGTCCATACACAGGAGAAGCTTGAAGAATAGGAGGAGAATGAGGTAATCAGTCCCTCAACCTTGAGTCGATGTGGTCAGTCCATCAATCTTGAGTAGAATACGGCATATGAGCGGAGAAGGAGCTTATAAACCGTAGGTAGAAGAGGTGCAGCAGTCATAGGTGGTGTCACATTTGCCCAATGTGGAAGTAGGTCGTGCCCAAGGGTTAGGCAAGCGAAGAATTCCCAAGTATTAAGATCCCAAAGTGTCGGTTCTGTGAACCATTCATCTACAATCCTGTCAGACACTGCAACTTCTTGGATCTTAATACTTGGGAATTCTTCGCTTGCCTAACCCTTGGGCACGACCTACTTCCACATTGGGCAAATGTGACACCACCTATGACTGCTGCACCTCTTCTACCTACGGTTTATAAGCTCCTTCTCCGCTCATATGCCGTATTCTACTCAAGATTGATGGACTGACCACGGTAGGGTTATAATTGAAAGAATTAGAGGTAAGACAGAATGTAGGATTGCGGATGAGCAAGGAGGTTTCAGAGTGGGTAGGGGATGTGTAGATCAAGTGTTTACATTGAAGCATATATGTGAACAGTATTTAGATAAAGGTAGGGAAGTTTTTATTGCATTTATGGATTTAGAAAAGGCATATGATAGAGTGGATAGAGGAGCAGTGTGGCAGATGTTGCAGGTATATGGAATAGGTGGTAAGTTATTAAATGCTGTAAAGAGTTTTTATGAGGATAGTGAGGCTCAGGTTAGGGTGTGTAGAAGAGAGG